AGTTCGAAACATCGATGAGAGAGAAACATCGATCAGCTGCCTCCTGCACACTCCCCACTGGGGAATGTGCCCGCAACCAAGGCACATGCCCCTGACCGGAATCGAACCCGGGACCCCTCAGTCTGCAGGCCAACGCTCTATCCACTGAGCCAAATCAGTTAGGGCTGTTCTCTTTCTAATAGGACACATAAAACCAGGTTCCAATTGTGGTTTTATTAACCAAGTCTCTGACTAGAATGTCATAATCAAAAGAGACATGCCTGGACTCTAGATATCACTCAAAAAACTTTAAAAAATAAAAATGGACTTTAAAGCCAATAAAAGCCCTTTAGGAAAATAGCCTGGTAACTTTTATTCACATGGTTCATGGCAGTCTTTCCAAGTAAGGTACGAAGATTGCTTTCCTTAAAAATGGCGCACACACACAAAAGAACCTTAAGAACTTGAAAAATCCACCCAAACCTATAGGTATTGCAGGCAAAGCCAGATGGCAACTGTGTGGCTTGGCTTCCATGCCCTGAAGGGCTGATTGAAGCTCGATTTAAAGATTCTATTAAGTGAAATCACAGCAAAGCAGGATTAAAAGAGCCTATATAGTCAATTACTATTCCTGTTATATTTATGCAAATAATTAGGCAAAATTAAAACTGGACTTAATACAGTCTCTTTAATGAAAATGACAATAATTTCAGGAAAAAATGTGTTTCAATAAAAATCACAATGCCTGATTGTGTTTATTGGACTCTAGTGCAGTTAATTGTCTTCAAAGTTTAAAATGTTGTTTTTATCTGTAAGCTGAATTAATTTTGAATTCTCCTAGTTGTCTTCAACCCTCCAAGCTAATGTTTTATTTTTCTCCCATCCTTTGACTTGGAATTATTAAGAACTACTAATGCAATGCCAACCATACGGAATTTATCTGAACATCTGATGTCATCATCAGAAATATTTAAATCACAAATTTAAAAAATCTGTTAAATTGTCACTGCTTACTTTTGTTCCAGCAAAAGAAACTCTAAGCCTCCTTGACTGACAATTTTACAGACTCAGAAACCAGTTTATAATTTTCTGTAATTCTTAACCTTTGTTTTTTTCTTCTATTTTCATAGACATACTCCTTATTAAATACCTTATTGCTTGTTAACACAATATACTAGTAGGTCTCACTTTGAAAGCTCGTCTGCATTACTGCCTCCTGAAATAAGACTCAACAATTTAACTAAACTGACTTATGTTCAGGACTAAATAATTGAGTCAATAATATATGGAACCATCTACCAACTTTGCTTCTAGAATGATACAATTCCCTATTGAGATGATAATGCTTTGGGTATTCCAGACTATCTCTACTTTGGAAAATCTAACAGCCTCTCTATTCCAGTCTCTGATTTCATCCCCTTGGCCCCCTTAGATCAGGCAGAAAGAGACTTCCATGCCTTATATAGTCAGGAGACCACAGACCTTGTCAGCAGGATACAGTTACTGAAGACAGATCTTCCTCCCTCATCATCTCCTAAAAGATTTAATGGATGGAAGTCTCTGAAGAGGGGATGAGACAGGCCAGTAAGCCAGGAAAAGCAGAATCGGGAAACTGAGACAAGTAGTTAAACAATTGTTTATAGCCCTCTAGAAAAATCTAGATGCTAAGCAGTTCGCAGTCATCTAGTAAAACCTATCTTCCCTAAACCAAGGACACTTAAGAATAAACGCACTTCTCCTCCCCAACCCAGAGGGTAAATAGCTTGTCACCCTATTCAAGGAGACCGATAGCAGAAATCCATTTAGTGCCATTTGCCAACCACACCCAAGGACAAATGAAGTTAAGAGAATGAATCTCATTTTCGTACATCAGCATAAAGCTGATGAATAATCTATTAATCCTCTTCTAAGACCCTGGCTGGTATTTAGTGTAGGTGAGAAAGCAATCAGTGTTACTAATAATTTAATTCTCTCTGGTGTATCTAATGGAACCCAAAGATCCACTTAGTTTAATGTCCCTTTCCTGGGGGATTTCCAGTAGACCTACTTCAGCTAATAGGAAAAGAGAGAAAAACAATTTGAGAATTATTCTCCTGCTCCACCTATTCCTGTAATGCTAAAGATTTAATTCATTAGGTAATGGTAACACATCGAAAACTAGCAGCAGGAGCAGAATGTTTTTTAAATAAAAATTCCCTAATTTAGAAAAAGCCTTTAAGTATTTGATTTTGGAAATTTAACTAACAGATAATTCGCAAGTGCGCGCGCACACACACGTGCACTTTTGTATAGCATCAGCTCTACTATATAAATTTAATTAAAAGCAAAAAAAGAAATGTTAGGTCATGTATGAATACTCTGAGCTATGAGGATCTTGTGCTTTTGTACAATACAAGGTCTGTTTGTTAAAATATTTTAATTTAAAACTCTCGTTAAAAACTTGTTTAGCCCTGACCGATTTGGCTCAGTGGATAGAGCATCGGCCTGCGGACTCAAGGGTCCCGGGTTCAATTCCGGTCAAGGGCATGTACCTTGGTTGCGGGCACATCCCCAGTAGGGGGTGTGCAGGAGGCAGCTGATTGATGTTTCTCTCTCATTGATGTTTCTAACTCTCTATCCCTTCCTCTCTGTAAAAGATCAATAAAATATACTTAAAAAAAACTTGTTTAAACTCGTTAAAACTTTTGTTTTTAATAATTAAAAAAAAAACAGTTCCTGAATGTTAGAAAGGAAAAGGAATAGTATTAGAGAACTTGAAAAGAGGCTATGTAAATAACCGTGCATAACCCACGGACACTGACAATAGGGTGGTAAAGGCCTGGGGGGCGGGAGGGCGGGCTAGAAGAGGTCAATGGGGAGAAAAAGGGGGACACATGTAATACTTTCAATAAATATATTTTTAAAAAGAATGAGATTTTAAAAATCTACGAAAATGTTATACTTAATAAAGGAAGCATTTTAGTTCAGAAAAATAGAAATTATATTGATAAATGAAAAAAAGAGGCTATGAAAATAATCTTTCTTCATAAGAGATTAAGTGTTGATTTGGTGAGATATTAGCTCATCTACACTAATAAAAGAGAAACATGGTAATTAGCGTACGACCGCTACCCTTTTCATTGGCTAATCAGTGAGTATATGCAAATTAACTGTCAGCCAAGATGGCGGCCGGCAGCCAGGCACTG